TCATTCATTTTCATTGTTAGGTTCTAACAAATTTATACCACGCTTTAACTATCCAGATCCTTTTTGAGATCCATTCGGGGGGCTTCTATCTTTTATTGCTGCAAGCCATGCTGCAGTCAACATCCTCCACCTGTGTCCTTATGCACACGTTCCAGAGACAGTACAGGGCGTGTACCTAGGAGTCCCGCGCTGGGTTTTGATTTTATTAGACGGGACCAAATCGTTCTCTAAACGGCAGTAGTTTCTACTGCTCGTTTGCATCACACTTGTACCGTGAGCCTATTTAATGTTTGCTAATCTAATAAGTGTGAAATGGTATTTCATAGTCATTTTAACATGCCTGCCCCATATGGCCACTGAATGTAAAATAAACATCTTTACGTGACTGTTACAGTTTTATCTTCTGCGAAATGCCTGTTCCGTCCTCCCACTTTCTAAAACACCATGAGAAGGTACTTACGGCGTGGAGGGTGTGCATGCGCTGCGAGTGGGGGGTTATTAACGGCTGACATGAGAATAATGAATTCGGGAACACGAGTACCAGGCCTCGAGCTGAGGTTCGCATCACAATTGTGCCGGTGAGACGAATGCTTGTTACAGGTTACATGTTCCCGATGGCTAAGGGATGTTTTAAATCCTGTGCAAATTATACTACAACCTACAATTAATGATCATGAGGGAAAGGGCGCTGGAGTCTCTGGCTTAAAACAAAGAAATAGTGTCCTTTCCACTTCCGTCTAAAGAGATCAGAGAACAAAGACCTCTGCTCCAGCCTACCCCCTCCAGACAGCCTGGCCAACACACACACACACACACACACACACACACACAGTGATGATGACATCAGCTCTGAATCACCATCAGAAACAGAACAGTAATCAACAGGATTATTCACATTTAAATGCCACAAATAACCCCAGGGAGGGCATGTATATTTGGGGGGTAAGAACTTTCCTAACTGTAAAACGGTAAACCCTACTGCTTGTTCTTAAGACAAATGAACCAAAACATTTTGGTGCCTGGGGTGGAATTTACTCACCCATTGAGCCACACCCTCACCCGTCATGCCTGGGCCGTGGGTTCGATACCCAGTAGGGGGTGTGCAGGAGGCAGCCAATTGATGTTTCTCTCTCACATCAATGTTTCTCTCTCTAAAAAAAATTTTTTTTAAGACTTTAAAAAACATACCACTATCACAGGGCATTTGCATCTCATCACACGCAGGGGAAATCTATAAAATCTACAGATAGTCTTCATGTGTCTGAAGTCGACCACTATGAAGATGCCACAGCCCATGCTTGCAGGAGTGTGCGGGACAGTCTCCTAGCAGAGAAAGGTAGCTGAGTACTGAGCTCCCTGCTTGAGGAGCCATGTGACATATCAGTAATCCAAGAAGACAGTTCACCTAAAGGCCTTTAGAGCTGGCTCTGTAATGTGGTTCCGTCCTCTCATTTGAACTTGCATGTGTTTGAGGTAAAGGGAGTTCAAACCATTTAGGAAGGAAGGCAGAAACAGGATCTGTGCGGTCTCTGTCCCCGGTTTTGTGTTTCTCAGCTGTGGCTGGTCGTCACCAAATCTCAGGTGCAGAGCCCCCTCCCTCTGCCGTGGCCCATCCACCATGGGCAGGGCTCCCGGGCAGCCCCTCCCCCACCTTCTCCCACCCCCGCAGTAATGATAGTCCTTGCTCAGTACCTTCCTTGGGCAACGGTCGACAAGTGCTTTGGTTTGAAAGCAGACATCAACCTCCTCCTTGTAAACGGAAAAGGGTTCCTGACTTTTCCCTCTGTTGGAGGAAGCAACCCCCTCCGAATGATGATGGCATCGTGCTACCACCACTGTGTGTGGCACCCCCAGACGGGCCCTCCGCAGCCCAACCCTCTCCAACAACAGACATGACAGAGGTCTTCGTGGCCCTCCACACCCACATCCGGGAACACTTGGGCGATCCTGTCTTAAAGGGGCGGTTGGGTCCTCGCACACGTGTGACGGCTGTGAAGAAGGAGTTCCCTTTTGCCTGCACGGGGGCCTCTCCTCTGTTGACACTGGCCCAGCGACAGGCACCTCCCCAGCCCACACCTACAAAATAAACACTCGGTCACTTCATTCCCAACACCCAAGGCCTAGTTTCTCTATGGCAAATACTGACCACATGGCAGGCCTAGAGACCAATGAACAGTCATGGTCATGGGCTTAGAGCTCTTTGGTACCAACTGAGTCAACCATTAAAGAAAAATGAGGGTAACTTAACGGTCCCGAACCCCGAGCAGTGGCCTTTTTGGTGCCACGCTCCACGCAACACAAACTGATTCCAGGTTGCCGGCTACCTGGCTCGGCAGGTGAGAAGCTAACGGCACCGAAGGTGGGGTGTAGGGATGGGGAAGCGGGGAGCCGGGATTTCTCAGTGAGGGATCATGTTCCTGGGGTTCTTGGTTAGAATAGGAAAACAATTTTCTCAAGGGGAAAGTATTACAAATGAAATCAGGCATCCTGGTGACTATTCTATTCTCTATGTTTTAAACACACTTTTGTTAATTCGGCACAAATATGTTTTCCTCGTAGGAAAAGTTCACATAAAGCTAAAACAAACGTAACAAAACACTGCATATTTATCAACTGAGAACTGGCTTGGCTAGAGAGAGCACTGACGTCATCTACCAGTCCATGTGGACAGTCCTCCCAGCTGGTGATGAAATCAACTGAACCTTCAAACATTTGAATGGAAAACAGAATCGATAAGTCCACCCTCACCTCTCCCCACCCCCTCTTCCGATTGAGCAGTCGCCTTATGCAAGGTTTAAGCAACTGATGAACTGTACTTCCCTCAGAATCTCTAGCATTACATATTAACTGTAATTATTTACCTGTTTGCCTGCCTCACCCCACCCCACTAAATACAAGCTTCATAGGCCAGGGGCTTTGATTTGTCCACCATTGTAGCCCCTGCCAAGCACACAGTGGGCACTCAGATACCATATTTTCCGGCATATAAGACGACCCCCTAATTTTTACAGTTAAAACATAGGTTTAGGCCTATATTCGCTGTGTAAGACTACCCCCCACTTCTGAGGCAACACCAGTTCTTTTTTAATTAATTTTTAATGAATGACCTCCGATTTTCGGTTGACTTTTTTTCGTTTCAAAAGTTATCTTATACGCCGGAAAATACGGTAGGTGTTGAATGAAGGAGTAGGTAAAATGGTTGACTCGTAGTAAATACTATTAATAATACAAGAATTTGTGAATAAGATGTCTTTAAGAATATGGGAAGAGGTAATGGATGTCAAACGGACCCTTTAAGCAGGCAACGCAGTAACTCTTGCCTGCAAAAATGAACTTTGCAGCGACCTTGAGTGTGGGGAAGCCAGGCTTGAGGTTGGGGTGTGCAAGTGTTCTCTGGGAATTCTGTACAGTGAAGAAGTGGTCCCATTTTATAATCACACACGGAGATGACACTATACGACTGATTCAGTCTCAACCGGCACTGGCCTCCGGGTAGAATGACCCAGAAGAACTTAAGAAAAATAAACCTATATGCACTGACAACCTCGGGAACAGGAAGCCGCTCGAATCCTGTTCGAGGCAGCAGGCAGGCGCCCAGAGCAGGAGGAGGACCTGCCCCGACCGGGTGGGTGGCCAGGGCAGGGCGCTCGGCTGTCTCCACTCCAAGGTGACAGCCCACAGGTTAGAGCAACAATTCGCTTTCGCCTTCACAGTGGGTCACAGGCAACAACAGCATTTTCATCCCTAGTAACAGGCTGGTCTGCTGTAGTAGCCCCACCCCTACCTCCCAACTACCCCCACCCCCACCCCCGATCGCTTCTCTCTCTCTCTCTCTCTCTCTCTCTGTCTCTCTCTCTGTCTCTCTCTCTCTGAGGGCTGGATGGGCCTGGGGAACCGCCAACGTCGCAGGGTCTGGGGCGTCAGGCCGGCGGCAACCTTGGCCAGCTGGGGGACCCAGGGCGGGGTGACGCTGGGGAGGGGGGTCCGCAGAGCCTCTGAGTCGGGCGGCGTTGGGGAGGTGGGGCGGGGAGAGGGGGCCCCCGGAGGCGGAGGCGGGGGCTGGGGACAGGGGCACTCACCTGCAGCAGCACGGCCAGCAGGAAGCACAAGTACATCTGGTAGATGCCCATCTCCCCCACCACCTGGAAGGCCTCCTCCACCTCCATGGCGGCCCTCGCCCTCGCCCCTGGCACCGCACCGGTGGCACCGGCTGGAGCTCGCGGCGCCGCCGGGGAGCGCGGGGCGGGGGCGCGGGGCGGGCGGCGGAGAGCCGGGCCGGTCCCCGCGGCGCTTCCTGTTACGGAGCGTGTGTGTCCGAGACAGAAACTGCAACCGCTGGTGCCGCCTGCCTCGGAGAGGAAGAGGAAGTGGCTCCCCGAGCGGCATCCTTTCTGATGGAGAAACGGGGGCCGCAGCCTGGGCTCCCCCAGGCCCCCCACACCCGCACACACACCCGCACAGGGGCGCGGAGGGGCCAGAAAGGCTGGGCGACCCGGTGGCGGCTCAGCGTCACTCGGCCTTTTGTGTTAATACAAAGCGGTTTAATGTGAGAAGGGGGAGGGGGCGTTCTAGCTCCTTTGCTGTGTTTCAGTTGTTTTTGGTTTTTTTAATGTATGAAGATACCATTTTTTAAGAAGAGTCTTGTGTTTTTATTTAATATATTTTATTGATTTTACACAGAGAGGAATTGAGAGAGGTAGAGAGTTAGAGACATCACTGAGAGAGAAACATCGAGCAGCTACCTCCTGCACACCCCCCGCTGGTGATGTGCCCGCAACCAAGGTATATGCCCTTGACCGGAATCGAACCCGGGACCTTTCAGTCCGTAGGCCTACACTCTATCCACTGAGCCAAACCGGTTTCGGCTGTTCCTCAGTTTTATCATGTAGTACTTTCATTGCCTTTAGTTTTTTTGTGTGTGGTTTTGTTTTGGTTTTTTCCTTTTAGAGAGAAGAAGGGAGCAGGAGAGAAAGAGGAACATTGATCAGTTGCCTCCCACACTAGCCCTGACAACGGATCAAACCCACAACCTAGGTATGTGCCCTGACCTGGAACTGAACCTGAAGTCATGGTGTACCGAGACGACACTCCAACCACTGAGCAACCCAGCCAGAGCATCACTCCTGCATTTTTAACATCCACATAACTATGCATTGTTACACAATGTTCACAGTAATTTCACATATCCTCTTTTCACACTCGTAAGAGCTTACACAAGACCCCAGGAGTGCTTTATCTGATAAAACTCAGGGGACATGAAAATGCTGGATTCTGGAAAACTTTGATAGGTGGCTCAAGAAGTGACTGTTGTAGTGTGAAAACACCGACGGAAACTATTTGTGTGAAGTGTTTTAATATAAAACGTCTATTGTTAAGAAAAATTATCGGGCACTTGGAAGAGGCCTGTATGTCCTTCAATGCAGTAGGGGATTTCCCTGTGCTTGACTTTGCTCTTTACTATGAGTTAGAGTCCAGGCACTGTGCAGTTGTGTGTGAATTTGTAGATTTTTGTTTGGTAGAGATATAAATGATTATGCTCAATAGAAAAGACATTCTATTATTTCATCACCCTATAAAACATTAACTCGTTTTGTATCTGACCTAGCAATTTTATTTTAACATTCTGGGTTTTTGTTTTTTTGTTTTCCTTGAAATAACCAGTTCCTCAAATGCTCTTAGAATCATCAGCTTTATGATCCTACTAATTCTTTCATTAATTAAAATAAAACTAAACGTGGGTTCATTCTATATTGGTAAGAGTCACATTTTTAACTTTGGAAACTTTCTTTGACATCGTGATGTGTAGGAGTGGGAAAAAATTATAAATTAATATATGATCTACAGATAAATAAAGTATTAAGTACAAATTGGATTATTTCATCTTACTCCCTGGAAGAGTATATATTTTAAGTGGGCCCGAGTAGAAAGGAGGTGGTTGTTGGGAGAAAAGAAAGTACAGCCCGGAGCACGTCAGGATGAGGTCTGATAGTTGCTAGAGGCTAGGTATGCGTTGCTAAGGAGTTTGAACTGTTTCCTACAGGTGACATGCCATAAACGGGAGGAGTGTGATTTTTAAAGATGATTTGACCACAGTGGGAAATACGGACAGCATCAGTTGCAACACTGTTGTAATGGCCCAGGCAGGCCTCAGACCCAGTGAGGGCATGAGGGCTTAAACCAGAACAGTGACACCAGGGATAGAGAAATAAAAGTCAAATTTAAGGTAAAAATTGATAGTGACTGCACTTTGCAGAGGCAAAAGAGTAATGCAGAATGACTCCTAGGTTTCTGGCTTCAATGCCTGGGAAAATGGAAGTACTGATAGGTGACACAGAAAGTGGAATACGTTGGTGGTATAGATCAGAGGGCCTATGACTGGAATAATGGGACTGAGTGTTCCTCTTTAATTTTTTTTAAAAAAATTTTTGAGGTGTTGTTTTATTTTTATTGTTTAAATATATTTTTATTGATTTCAGAGAGGAAGGGAGAGGGAGAGAGATAGGAACATCAATGATGAGGGAGAATCACCTATCAGCTGCCTCCTGCACGCCCACAACCCAGGCATGTACCCTTGACCAGAATAGAACCCTTCGGTCTGCAGGCTGATCCTCTCTAGAGTCTAGGCGAAGTGTCACTTTTTTAAATGGTCACTATCCCTTTAAGATCATGCCCTTCCCTCTTAGTGCACCCAGGCCCAGCTGGATTTCCGTGCGCCAATTTACTGTCATGGCCAGAGCTACTGAGCTTGCGCTGAAGGAAGAGCTGGACTAACCAACACTCTCTTGGGGCTCACGGTATTGCATCTGTGGCTCTCAGCAAAAAGCTCCATTTTGAGAGCATATTTCCTCATCTATCCATTCTTATCTCATTTTTTCTCTTTTTTAAGTCTTTGCTACCGTAATTTTATAGCACCGGTCTCTTTTATAACTCAAGAGTAATAAACATCTGGGGGGTTTTAAATAGTAAAAAATTACAACACAATGTTTAGAATAGGGTGTCTATCCAATACACAGTTTGGGGGCTATGAGAGGAAAAAAGGTTAGCTTACCTTGGTGAATTACATGAAGCTCTGAAGTAGTCACACTCAATCATTATAGTTTTATCATAAAACCTGCACACCTACCCACTGGGTCCTGTCTTCTGCTTCACAGGTAATGTGGTGTCCCAGAAGTCTACTGAAACTTGCTGTGAGAGATAATAGACTTCGTGTATGTTAAGCGTTGTATCAGATCCTATGGGAATGAGTGTTGTACACCAGCCTAAATGTACCTGGAGTTACTGTCCTTTTAAGGAATCTGAAGAATGTTGCCCCTTCTGCAGGAACCTTCATGCTGAGATGACCCTATATCGTTAGTATGTCACAGCAAGATGCCTTAACGAAGAGAGTCAGAGTGCAGATAACTGCCAACATTAAGTTGATATAAACACAGCAAACACAAAGGGAATGATCAGATCACCAGGAAGCCAGATTCTGAGGGTAGATTTCTGGGAGGAAGGAGCAAGAAGACAAAGGGAGGAGAAGCAAAAAGAAAATGGACTTAGCAGTGAGATGAACATGTCTCCGTGATCTTGCCCCTCAAACCAACACCCATCATTCAAAAACCATCCTTAAGTTGATGAAATATTATATATATAATATATATATTAAAATATATATATTATATATATAATATTTCATCATATATATAGTTTAAAGAGGAGAAATAGGCCATTTCTATGTCTCAAACCTTAGCAATAAAATCAAAGAATTTTGTAGTAGGTCTAAAATTCAGGACTTACAGTGGGGAGATATGAAATATCGGGGAAATTAAGTATGTTTGAATTTAGATGGTAGAGTGTTTTGTTTGCTCAGAGTCCAAATGTACACGTTGTCCCAAGAGGCACTGAGCTTAGATAACAGGACATTCATATAATTCAACAAATTCATTCCTGAATGCCAACTTGAATGAAAATGTCAGTGTTGTTGCTGTTATTGCTGATGTTTCTTACATGGGAGAGCTGTACAACTATATAATATAGGCCAATATGGTGAATTTACTATACTCAGGGATCAATACATTGAGGCTGTGATTTGATGGGGTGGATGAAAATGTGCTCTGTAGAAGGAGAAATGCCTCAATGCTCCCTATAATTAAAATCTGGATGCTTTTGGAACTGCCTGAACCTCTTTAGTTGGTTAAGTATTTCACAAAGATGATGGTAACCTGAATATCAAGAGTCTTAGCTCCAAAAGGCTATATAAATTAAACCAGCAATCCATGTTGCTTTCAGAAAATAGGAAGCCAAAGTCGATTTCAGAGAATCAAGTTTGCTACACTTGACCTACTCAGTCTCAGAAAGAGAAGTCGCCGATCCTTAACCATTCTAAAACTCCTAAGTATTAAAATTTATTCAAGGAAGGCTTGCTGAGCAGCTAGCTCTACTGGGCATTGTTTTAACAGCATTAAACAGGCAAGGCCTCTCCCAGTCCCTGGTGGTGCTTGCATTCCAGAGAAAACTTTCTGCTTGGCCAAAATACTGGGTGGGTTAGGTGATATGAGACCTAGGAGGAAGAGGAGTTGTTGACTATGGAAATTACATGCTTGCTGCTCTGTTATCTGATCATGAAATCAGCCCCAAGTCAACACAGAACAGCATGAACCAAGTAGATTAGATTATAAAGGAGTCTTTATCATCCATTAAGTCTCCTAAGGGCTCTAGTGGCAGTGTTTAACGGCTGTAAGAAGAATGTAGCCAAATCTTGTCTCCCAAAAGTGAAAACCACTTAGTAGAAAGTTACATGAATGCACGAAATTCACAAAGAGAATGTGCATGATTTTCAGAACCAAATGAATCCCTAAGGTACTGGCACACAGCTATTTGAGCCAAAAATATTACATTTTAAACCATATAAACTCGTCTTCTTCAGTCTTCATTTACATGAGAAAAGTGTCTTATTCTCAGCCAAAGGAGCAAATCAAATCTTCCTGTCAGTTTTCTGTTCCAGCACAAGATTGTGATATTCTGTTCCATTGTCCTCTCCCACCCGGCTGAGATTCTTTCTTTAACCTTTGTTAATCACAGGACCTTTTGCCAATCTAATGAAAGCTATAATAGGTAATGGTTTATCTCAGGGAAAATGAGAGTGCTGGAGAGGGTGCCCTCTACCCATAGACATTCTTAATGTCATTTTTTTAAAATCGTTGAGTCCAACTCCCACATTATAAAAATGACAGATTAAGGCTACAGGAGGTGAAATGATATGTTTACTGAAAGTCACACAGTTGGCAGAACAACACATAAAACCAAGTTCTCAGAAGTGTGTGGGCTTTTTGTTTAGTTGATTGGTTGGTTGGTTGGTCGGTCTTATAATCTGAAACCACTCTCAGGTATAGGCCCTGCCTCTGAACCTTTTTTTTTTTAAATCTGGAAATACTAATATAAAACAACATTCTCTTTGTAACACATTTGTGCTCTGATTCCTTTGTAAACAGAATAAATAGGTCAGTTCTAGGGTGGGGCTTTCGCTGAAGAGGCACTTCCTCCCTGCTTCCCAAGCCAGGGCTCCAGTTGGATAAGTAATAACTCAGCAAGTAGCTACAAGCACAGACCCATGAAGAAAGAGTTCTCATCTGTTGTGTTTGAGGCCGAAGAATGGACTAGTGTAGCTTTCCTTTGTGGATTGTTCCTTACTCAACAGCCATTCTGCTTTTGACCTGAAAAACAGCCACAGAGCGCCTGCCCCATCAGGCGCATTTCTTGTTGGTCTGTAAGAGGGTAGCATATGGCTAATTACAATTTACACCTTCTGAAGTGCTCTAAGGATCCACTAAAGGCTGTTTTGTCTCTTTGGTTTACTGTTCTAGCACTTTTTGCAGACAGAGCAGTAAATGGTTATGTGGTTTTGTTCCTTTTTGTTGTTTTTTTGTGGGTGTTTTTTTTTTTTTTTTTTGAGGTCCCTTTTAATTTCAGATGATGATGGAGAGGAAGATCTGTGTGGGCTGCTAATGGATGTTCAGCCTGGTCTGTTCAATGACCGTGTTCCAGATTGTCATTGTCATCACCATGTCCTGATGACCAGCTTTCCTTTTCTTCCCTCTCCCTCCCACGGGAGACATGTTTATGGAGGACAAAATGAAGCACTAAGGCAAGTGAGAGAAGAGATTTTTCAGAGCAAAATGTCTACGGCATAAAATGCATTTGTACACATGAGAATAAAGATATTTGAGTCCTGTGTTTGTTTTTATTTTTAAAACATGTTTATTTCCAACTCTGTGTGGTTTTGTGAGATAAAAATGTGTTCTCTTGCAAGGAGATGGGTGTCTCTTGAAACAACATATAATGGGAAGATTTTTCATTAATTTAGTTTTTAATTTGTTGGGTATTAAAATACAGCTGGTAACTAGACATCTCTTAAGCAGAGAAGTTTTCTATTTGGTAAATGGCTTGCCCGGGGAGTAGATGTTCTGACCCGATGTTCTGTTTGGAGCTGGATGGAGCTCTCTACTGTCCCTGCCAACAGGTGACCAGCTGGCACCAAATACAAGCATGACAGCTTGGGGCACTCAACTGAGACCCACATTTCTATTTTCCTTCATCCAGGGAATAGCTAAAAAGATGATGTCCAATTCTCTTACTGGCATGGGGCAGAGCAGGAATAAATGAGTCTTCAGTTAACGATTCCAAATAAAAATAGGTCCAATCATCTATAATGTTAACATTTAAAGTTGGTAGTAGTGTTTTAGGAACTAAGGTAATGTATGGACTAAAATTCTCTGGGCCCCATAAGTTCTTTACCATATGAACAAACTTAAAAAGCTAATTATATGGGAGATTTCAAATTTGAAAATTCAGTCTTGAGACCAGTCAGTGTAAGTAGGTTGAACATAAGGGAGACCTATACTTCCCTAGGGGAATGCGGAGCTAGGTGAGAAGACCCAAGCCTTCTCCTAGACCCTACATTGCTTGCTTTGACTGAGACTCAACATAGCTATGATAGAGACTCACAAATATTTCATATGCGTGCCTGAACTTTAATGCTTTTCTTTTAATTAACATTGCTTTTATAGTTTTAAGGGTTCCTTAAAAAGAACCCTTAAAGGATGATTAAAAGGAGAGGGGGGAAAGATAACATGGCCAGCAAATAAGAGAGATCTGCCACAATAAGGCTCAGACTGTTAGACCTTAGAGTCAGATGGGCCAACAGGCAGTGAACATGACATTCCAACCCATTCTCAACCTGGTCATCCCTCAGCCTTAGCCTGCTGCTCTGTCCGCAGACATTTCTACCAACAATGTGGCATCTGGAATTCTGTCATAGTCATGCCTTCCTCCTGCTACCCACAGCACCTGTCAAGGTCACATTAGGATTATATATATACATAATGTATAATGTTCTCCAGACAATTCTAAAATACTTCCATTCAGGGAAACAAATGTACAAAGTTGCATGAAACAATCTTTTACAGAAAAGAGGTTGCAGGACATAGCTTTTTGGGGATTAGGCGGGGGGGCGGGGGGAGAGAACTTACACTGTGATTGCTTATCATTTCTTTTTTCACATCTTCCACTTCTCATTGTATTCATTTTTTCCTTTAAATGCATGAGCATATTTATAATAACTTTTGAAGTCCTTGTCTGCTAATCTGATAATTCTGGTATCTCTTCATTTCTGGGTTATTTCTGTTGAATGATTTTTTTTTTTCTTGGTTATAGGTACCAACTTCCTGCTTCTCATCTATAATAATAAAAACATAATATGCTAATTAGACCAGATAACCTTCTGGAGGAAGGGAGGAAACCTGGGCTGTGAGGGAAGCCCGGGTCCTGGATGCTGGAGGGAAGCTGGGGGAAGGAAGGCCTATTCTTGCATGAATTTCATGCTTTGGGCCTCTAGTATACAATAATTTATTATCGAATGCTAGAAATGGCGAGTTTTCATTATTGAGCACCAGATTTTGTTGTCTTAATGGGAGAGTGTTGGGCTTTGTTTTTTCAGGCGGTTAATTTATTTGTGCATCCACTTTGACCTTCGAAGCTTGTTCTTAACCTTTGTTGAGGTTGGTTTGGCGTAGTCTTTAATGAGGACTAATTGAGTCTTCTGCCCAGGCATGGCTCCGAGAGCCTGAGTCTGCTCCTGGTGTTCACAGTAGACTCATCACATTTGCCTCTTCTATATCCTGGGATTGCTTTCTGAAATCACCATTGACTTATCCGTCCAAAGGGACTTTTCTGTTTTCATCTTCCTTGATCTGTTGGTGGCATTTAACATTGTTAACCACCCCACCTTCTTAAACACTCTCTTCGATATCTTTCTGTTGATATTCTCCTTATTTCCCTCTTACTTTCATGGCTGTTTTGCTGGTTCTCCTTCCACCCTTTGAATATTCCTTGAGCTTTTTTCCCCAGCCATCTTCTAATTTTACTCTATAATAGTCTCTCTTTCTCTAGGGCAGTGGTCAGC